ACCCGAGCGACCCAATCGGACCCGCACTAAAATTTAGGATATTCGATCTGATTTCTGTCAGTGGAGCAGATGAGGGTTGGGTACCTGTAATATTCAGATACAAATATGGATCATAAAAATAAAAATATGTGGGTACCCGACCTGGGTTATATTATATAAATATTAAAAAAATATAGGGGCAATTTTATAATTTTCTTAAGTTATTAACCCTAAAGCCTAAATAAATCCATCTATTTCATTTCACTTTCCAAAACTTTCTCTCTCTACTCTTCAGCCGTGAGCCAATAGCCGACACTCATCCTGTCCTAGTCTCCTCTTCAATTTTTGTTTCACCTCAACTTGAGTTACTAGAAGTTGCAAAAGATTCTCAAAACTCAAACAGGTAAAGGGGATGAATCTTCCAAGAAATTTTTTTTGAACAGAGACCTTTACCTACAGAAGATTCAATGAAGACATTCGATTCCTCAAACCTCAAGCAGAAGCTGCAAAATGCCGGACCTTCATCTACAGTTTTTTTTTTTCTGAGAAAACATTACTTCTCAAAGGATCAATGGCTGCAAATCATGCAAATTTGAATGAAAATTGCATAGACGATAGACTATAGTAACAAATTAAAGTCAAGAAGCATGGTATTATGCAGCAGTAAAGCTGAGGTTGGCTGAGATCTTTAAGAATTCTTCTTTAAAAAATTTTTAGAGTACTTTGTTGGTTTTGCGCCTTTTTTCTTCCAAAAGTTTGTGGAAGGTTGGAGAGAATTTTAAGGTAAAATAGCAATAAAAATGTGTTCTTGCTTGCTAATTGTACCTAATTCTGCATGATCTCTCTTGGGATTGTGTCAATGGTGCAAAAAAGTAAGCTTTTTAATTGATCTTTGGTAACGGTGGCAGAGCTAACTATTTTCTTGTTTTCTGGGCAAGTTGGTTTGTTTATTATGTCATAATTGTTGATTTTGTTGACACTTTTGCCTAAAATATGGGCTTCAGTCTGTTGAAATTGTTGAAATTTGCATGTTTAGTTCACTCTTAACTTATACTATTAATTTGGAAAATGAAAGTAGATAATTTTCCTCTATATATATATATATATATATGTATATATATATATAGGGAAGGTATATATATATGTTTAAAGTGTAATATCTGCTCTTGTTTCAGATGTGTAGTAGTTAAATTTTTTTGAAATTTTCAGATATTAAGTATGGGAGATAATACAACTACTACAGTTGCAAGTCCAAGTGTTGACCATTCATCATAGTATGGGAGATAATACCAGTATAAAGATCCAGCAGTACAAGCTGAATTGTTTTAGCTAATTTTCCTTTTTCTTTGTCCTTTTTGCTCGCTAGGTACTTCACAGTTTTTATGATTAGGTTGTTTAATGCCAGTTTTGATGGCTTACCCTCCGAGCTCTAGAAAAATTCTGAAACTGAATTTCCTTTTCTCTTAAGTCGTGACTAGTATTGAAGTAGGATATGTAATCCTCATTTGTTACAATTGCGAAGAGCCATGCATTTGGTGCCCAAAGAATTTCTTAAACCTAGGACGTCTTTGGATTCAATGCTATGTTTCTTAGTAAGCCGTAATTTTTTTCATTGGTATTAGGGGCGGGTACCCTATGACCCGTCCCTTTTTTTTGGGTACTCGAAGACAAGCGAAGCGAATTAGGGTAAAAAAAATAGTGATCTGAAATATTAGGGTCGGATCAATCATTTGCCGTTCGGGACGGATATCCGACCCGTGCCTATCCCTGGTCCACATGATAGAAAGATAAATAATCTACTTGACAAAAAGATAGAATAGCCATCTCAACTATTTACCAATTTGAATAAAACATGCTTAAATATGCACGCACACACACAGGCGCGCAGACGCACGCACACACAGACACGAGTCAAAGATACAAGTTATAAAAACATATGAGAAGGGTGTCAAAAACACGAGTCAGTCAATAAGATTTTTTGCAACTACACGCGTTGTAAATTAGTTTTGTAGTAGAAACTCTACTTATTTCTCAAATATGATATGCATACTATTGAATAGTTTATTCTTAACATTTACGAGGAGTTTGGATAAGTGTCATGCCCTTTCCCTTTCAATGTGACGTGTATGCATAAGTGAGGGACAAAATTGACATCTCCCATTCTTAATGAACACCTTATACAAGGTTTATTATTAATGGTACATGTCATCAATGCATCAAATATGCACATTAAGGATAAAGGGATGTAGATTTAGCTCATTCTTATTTTTCTCGAGTGATGTTATATTGTAGCATCATATTAAAGATGAAAAATATCTTGTATTTCTTTAAAATAAAATGGTCAAACCTTGCTATTTTATTATTATGATGTCATTAATGCAATAAATGTGGTTAATTAAGAAATGAAAAGATCTTGTATGTTGGCAAAAAAAATGTCAATTTTTTTTTAATTCTAGTGATGTTGTTTCATTAATGCACCAAGTATAACCAACGTCACTTAGTCTCTATGTAAGGAAGTAATTTGACAAAATTGAAAAATAACACACATTGCCAACAAAAATGGTTGCCATTGTAAACATGCACCTGTTTCTTTTACTTCTTTTGTCGTTTCGGCTTAGTTTGGGAGTTTACGAAGGAAGATAAAAGAAAAGAAAAGATAGCTTAGGAAAGAAAGGAAGAGAAGGGAAAAGATGCATATTCCGTTTGGGAGTTTAATGAAAGAAAAGAAAAAAAATATCTTTCTCTTATTTGAGAGTTGGAGAGATATGGAAAGAAAGGATTTTATGAGAATACAACTTTACATATTTACCCTTTCAATTTGTAAATCAAAGTCCAAAAATTAGCTTTCTTGTTCCCATAAATAGAATATTTGAACAAGACAAATTTCTAAAACAATTGCATTTGCATTCCCACAAGGTGAATAATAAAACAAATTTCTTGCTAGACTTCGATTCTCTTGCATGCATGTAAATCGCCTCAAGTCCTTGTAGTATCTTTTAGGTATTCTTGACATATGATTTTTGATATTGGCCGGAAATGCTTAGTAGGTTATCTATTTAACATAAATTAAATATTTTTTAAAAAAGAAATATCCCATAAAGTACTAACTCTTTATGATTTTTCTCTATTACATGAGCCAAGTACCAGGTTTTTATGGATATTTTATTTTGAATCATTTAATTTATGTTAAATACATAAATATTTGCAAATAAAATTCAAAAGCCGTTACACAAATATTTTTACGAAAGGAAAACTAACATGTTTTGTATTTAATATAAATGAAGTATTTGAAAGTAAAAAAAATTTGTCCATAACATACCAGTTCTTTACGAGTTTCTTTCATTATATGAATAAAATACTAGCTATTTATGAGTATTTTACTTTGAATCATTTAATTTATATTAAATACATAAATTTAATTAAGTCAAGTTCAAAAAGTGTTACGCTAATATTATTACGAAATGAAAACTAGTAGGTTTTATATTTAACATAAATTAAATACGTGAAAGCAAAAAAATAAAAGAAATTACCCATAATATATCAGCTCTTTATGGGTTTTTTCTATTACACGAAATACCTTTTGTTTGGTGAATTAAAGAAATACCTTTTGTTTGGTGAATTATGGGTGAAAAATGGAAGAAAGCCAAGTTTTCTCAACTTGCTGGAAGTATTGAAAGTACAGGACACATGACCGAGAAAGCTTTGCGGTGCTTTTATAGAAATCAATTTTAGGATATATTGGGAATAATAAATTTTTGTATCAGCTTTTAAAGGGCAACTTGACATATTAAAAATGTCTTTTGGAGCCCAACAAGTTTCCGTCCTTTTCTTCCCACTTTGGGCGGAAACATTTTCAACAATTGGAGGGAGACTTTTATCCATTCATTTCACTTCTCTTCTTGTTAAACTCCCAAATGAAAGAAATGACCGTTCTTTCTCTCTGAATACTTTCTTTTCTGTCCTTTTCTCCCTATCCAAATGAAGCCTTCATCTTTCTCAAACATCATCTATGGTTGTAGCTTGGCAACACTATAATATTCATGTGATCAATGGTCTCCTAAACGATGAATTAGTCATTCATTGTGAATCAAAAGCGATGATTTAGGATTTCATATTCTTTGCAAAAGCGATGACTTCCATTGGCATTTCGTATTCAATCCTTTGATAAGTACTCCGTTCTTTGGTCACTTTTGGTAGGGAAAATAAAAGATAAGTTTGATGTTTATAGTCACGATCTGACACATAGTCACTATCAAGAATTTATACCACTTACAAAAAAGTTTATATTGCTATGGGTTAGCAATGGTGTAATAACTCGAGAAAATCTCGAAGAGACTTAGCCATTATTATCCTTATTTCGTCATTTGAAATATTATAGATAACAAATAATTAGTCAAATTAAATGACTAAATTTGATTATTCTATAAATTGAGAGTTTAGAAATACCCTAGAATGATGTCAAAAAATAATAATAAATTAAATTAACAAAAATTATATGAATCAAATAAACATATAATATGCATAATGTAATTTGTGTTATTATAATTGAATCAGTTGCACGTTTAGTCAAATTTCTTTAAAATCAAAAGTGTGAAAATCTATGTATGTCGCATGGGAAAATTTTTCAAGGTAAGCGTAATTTAGAACAAACGAAGTTTTGAATTAATGTATGAGACAAATAAAATTACTGGCTCGGGGTAACCAAATAAACTAAAATGAAAAGACTAAAACAATCATGGAACTTCTGACTAACTACCATGCAATTACGAAACCAACCCTCAGAAATTCACAAGTCCAGAACCGAGAAAGGGAAAATGTTTGGAAGAATTGGAACCAAATAAAAGCTAGGTAGCTACCTACCAAGTTAAACAGTGGAAGGAAGAATTTAGGAGGACTTGGGTTTTAATCTTGGGCGGTGAATAATACCTGTGATGATGACAGTTGCCCATCCATCAGGTAAATGAAGTGATGACTAAGGGAAAAAGGAGTAGAAATTGTCTGACAGTTTGGGCGGTGGAACATTTGCTGAGTTAAGCAATGACCGAGAGAAAGGAAGTGCTCTGCCATTTTGGACTTCAACCGAGAGCAAAACCAAGAGAGGAAACAAATAGGAGTCGGCTGTTTCATTTGATAGCAGAAACCGTGAGGAGCAAAAGAGAGAAACAGAGTGTAAAGCTTTCTTCCTCCTCCAACCGCAAAACCGTGAGCAAAAGTGTGAGATACGGAGAGAAATCTTGTGCGTTTCATCACCTACCAGCCTCAAACGAGACAGAGGGATGCAAGGGAGGAGAAGGAGAGAGACTGGTGCATTTATCTTGAGGAACCGAAGCAGAAACCAAGGCGCAGTCTGCAATTTCAGAGTTTGGGAGGAAAGGGAGGTAAAATTTGCAGCAACACCCTTCAATCTTCCATTACTTTTAATCATGACTGTTGCATGTTAAGTTTTAGCTAGGAAAAATGAGTTTTGGCTGAGGAAAAATTCTGTTTAATGACTGATTAAGAGCTGCAAGAAAACTCTGTGATGGCCGAGAGAGTGGAGCTGGAATTGCTGCTTGTTACCAGAATTCCCTTTGGAGAATTATGCTAGGAATGCATGAAATAGGTTCATCTCTGATCTTATAGGATATCTATTTGTGGAACTAGTAAAAATGTTGATACATTTGGCTTGAAATGTTGAAAAAAGCTGCTGAAATTTTTCAGCATGGTCGAGAGAAGGAAACAGAATTTTATACAGCTTTCCCTTTGAATCTTTGGCTGTAAATTTCATATTGTTGCACAAGATACACCGTAGCATGATAACTACACTCTGCATGTTGAGCTGGAGTGGAAAAATGAAGAATTTGTGGAGAAAGTGTCACATTTAAACTGTCAAATTGCTGGAAGATTATATGTTAGATGATGACAGATTTATGAGGACTTCTTGGTGGAATAATTTGCTGGAATTACCTGCTATTTGATTCATTTCATGCTGGGCAGAATGTATGTTAAGTTTTTAGTGTTTAAAGCAAGCAAAGGATGGAAACCTTGTTGAAAATTTTGGAGTAATGTTGCTGGAAAATCAGTTTTGCTGCCCGAGAGAGGGTGAAGGCTGAAACTCTCATGTTAATTTCGAAAATTCCATGATAATTGACTGTAATCTTAAGTAAAACATCTTATAACATCTTGTCCTAGTTTTCATGTGCATCTTATTGATTTTTAACACTTAAAAAGCTGGTGAATTGAAGCAAATTTAAACAACAAGCAAACTAGAATCTGGTTCAGCTCAAAGGAAAGAAATGAAAAGTTCACTAACCTTAATCTTTAAATTTGGCATGAAAATAGTTTAACCTTAGTTTAACCACCTTACAAGACCTTAAATTTGGTATACATGAATATTTCCCTTGTTTGAGCTGATAAATTTGATGAATCTTGAAGAGAAATGTGAGGAAGGTTGCTGGAATTGTTGCATCTTGTGTGACAAGCTAAGGGACTTGAGATCTAGTAATTTAAACCTTAAATTGGTGAGTGATTAGCAGCCGGACATAAAGATAAATGGATAAATGGGTGAGAAAAGTTGTTATATCAACTATAGGGATCTAAACGGCTATAAAACTTATATGAAAAGATATACAAATAAAACATGATTCAAACGGCTTTATAAGCATTGTATGTTCAGCGTTAAGGTAATAAACTAGTTTTACTCATGATCTTAAGTAAGTAAAAGAGATTTATAGGACAATAAAGCACCTTAAAGGTAGTTATTTCTAAAATTTACCTTATTAAAGGTTAATGTTGAGTTTTAGTACGATAAATCTAGCAGTATAAAAGCAATGAAGTCACAATACTGGAATTGCTACTTAAACTTCCTCTCTTTTGGAAATTAAAAGTCGAAGTGACGAGTGAATGTAAGAAATGCACTAGTCGCCTCATTTAAACAAAGCAATAACTGAGAATTCCGGTGAAATGGTGACTTAAGGCAAGAATACAACACGTATGTTGATTATACTTTAGAACTTCACCAAATGAGTAGTTAAATAATTATGGCAATTATTAATTTGTCCCAGGAAATAGCTGTGAGTCAGGAAACAAACCCGAGGCTCAAGAGTAAATTATTTGGATAATTGGTGAGTGTTTCCGAATTTATGTGTTTAACTGTTTATGTGCACTTAAGTGAAATTATGTAACAAATGTGTGTATTATGAAATATTGCTAAGTGATCCATGGTAAAGTGTATCTCAATTGTCCCTCACCTTCTAAGTTGAGGGTGTACTTTATCGCTCTCGACTTAGTTGAGCTTGAAGGTTGATAATTGATCAGGTGATATTGTAAGTATTCAGGCCGTCTTTTGTGTATAACTTGCTTATGTGCTTCGATGTGAATGAGAGGGTACTTAGGCGAGGGTGTACTTGATTACACTCGACCTAAATCCTAATTTGCACATGTGTTTATCTATGAGATGTATATATATGAAATATTTTGATGTTGAACCCCTTGAGCTTGTAGTTCGGGGTGACGTCTGTTGGGCCCGATCTCAAGACCTAGACGGACTATTTGAGTCAGCCGGGGCTTGGTCGAAGCCAATCTAACCTAGTCTTGAGGTTACCAAGTTTGTGAACCAAGTTTGTGAACCAAGTTTGTGAACCGAGCTTGTGAATCAAGTTCAATTTCATTTCGTTTACTCGAGCCATTTTGTGAGGTGACTGGCCAGTGAGAGTGATAAGGTGTTAAGTGGGAGAACAAGTGGAGTTCTACGGACCATTATTGGTGGTCGACGGAGTGTCGACAAGAGGTCACACGTGGCATATGATTTGACTTTGGAGCCAACTTGTATCCTTAATTTATGTGTTATTTTCGCACTTTTAATTCGACATCTCTATGATATAATTGTTCAGTGAAGTGTCTCTTCAATTGCTAACGAAAGTGATTGTACAGTGAAATGTGCACTACTTGCTTAATTGTATTGATTCATGTGATTATTAAATGTTACTTGCATGGAAACCTCACGAGCGTAAGCTCACCCTTTTAGCTTTGTTTTCCTACAGGAGTTAGAGATTGAAGAGTGATTGGATTGAACTAGAAAGTTATTTTGGGAAGATCCGTTATTCTGTGTATATAGTGTAGGCATGGTCAATTTTGAATTTGGAGATGGTTGAATTTTTGTTTGAGTTGGTGTGATATTAAGAATGGATATTTAGAACAGGTATTTTGTTTCTTTTATTGAACAAATTCATGTTTCAAACTGATTGGAGATGTACTTAAGAGTGAATGTTCAGTCGTCCAATGGTAATGTTATCTCTGAAATTAATGTGAGTGAGTGAGTCCTGGCGAGAGTCAGGCAGGCGATCCGCTAACATCTAGGGTATGCCCTAGGAGAAGGTGGGGTCGTCACAAATGGACGATGGGTTCTATGCTGCGAAACATTACAAACCCAAGCCTATTAATTATACCAAAGTGCATACTTGGACCAAATAAGTGAAATAGTCAGCATAGAAGTGGTGTATTAAGTTTTACCTGTCATGAAGGGTTCATGCTCTAAATTATATGACAATTTACTCTTGAGTTTTGTATACTGTATTTATGTTTTTCATTTTTAATATTTGCTTGCTGATTGCAATTTTTATTCTTTTTGCTCTTGTTACGTTGCTGCAAAACATATTACACATATGAAATAATTGTTATACTATAGAAATAAAATGTCTAATTCTTAAGAAATAATGAGTGACAATTACACTAGTAGCACTCAACATTCAAGGCTTATAAGTGAAAATCCATAAACATTTATTGGGATATAATAAACCTTACTTATGGGCTAAATTAAATGCACTTCCTAATATAGGTGGCAATTGTAATATTGAACATGTTAATGGATGAAAGAGTACATATTTGTAAAAATTTGTGATGCCACCGAAAGATTCTAATATTCTTTGATCAGGGTGTGTTTGGATCCCTTGTTTTTGGGGCTGTTTTTGAAAAACTGTTTTTCACATTCCAAATGCTACAGTAAATGTGTATTTCGAAAACAACTCCAAAAATACCATATCCAAACATTATATCAAAAAAAATTACATATGTATATTTCAATTATGTATATTATATATGTATATTATATTAATATAAATTGAAATATACAAATTGAAAATTATATATATATTATATATTATATAAATATTTATATAAATTAATATGATACATAATATTGTATATTATACATAATATGTAATAATGTAATAATGTATATTATGTATAATGTATTATATTATGTATATTATTATATATACAATATTATGTATATTATACAAATTGAAAATTATATATTATATATTTATATATTAAATGAATATTTATATAATGAAATATACAATAAATATTACAAATTGAAATATTATATAAACACCATATTTATAATATTATAATATTTATAATTAATATTAATGTATATTGTATATATTAAATATTTATATATTTATTTATACATATTATAAATATTTTTATATATTTATATGAATATTATATATTATATAAATTATATATAATATAACATATATTATATATTATGTATATTATACATTTATATAAATGTACATTTATACATAATATATATATATATTAATGTATATTTATAATATAAATTTATATTATGTATTATATATAATATAATACATTTATACATTTATATTAATATACATAATATTAATTTTATATTTATACATAATATTAATACATTTGTACATTTATATTAATTATATTAATACATTTATACTTAATATTAATATATATTAATAAAATTATAATTTATACATTTATATAATATTCATTTGTAATTTATACATTTATAATAATATAGACTTATACGTTTATAAATATATTTATATTATGTATTATATATAATATAATACATTTATAATACATTTATATATTTTTATATAAATACATAAATATATTTATTTATAAATATATTTATTTATAAATGTATTATAAATGCATAAATGTATATTTATATAAAAATATAAAAATTATAAATTATAAATTGTAATTTATACATATATATATAATATTCATTTATAATTTATACATTTACAATAATATACACTTATACATTTATAAATATATTTATATTATGTATTATATATAATATAATAAATTTATAATACATTTATATATTTTTTAGCCAATATATAAATATATTTATTTATAAATATTTATAAATGTATTATAAATGCATAAATGTATATAAAAATAAAAAATAAAAAATATAAATTATAAAAATATCCAAAAATATGTTTTAAAAATACCTCTAAAAATAATCCAAAAAACATCTACAGTAAAAGTTTTCCATATAGTTTTTGAAAAATAACTCTAAAAACAACTAATCCAAACCAACTTGTATTTCAAAAACAAAATGCTACAGTACTGTTTTTGAAAAACAACTCCAAAAACAACTAATCCAAACGGAGAGTTCCAAAAGTTCTATACCATAGTTTATTACACTAACCTTGTTCTTAAAACATTTATGATCTATTTTCTTGTAGCAGTATATGTAGTCGATAGCTATGGGAGCATTGATTTGCAAGAAAAGAAAGAAGTGTCATAGAAACATGGGGCCTGTTTGGAACCTGAGTTTTTTGGGAGTTTGTCTAAAACTTTACTGTAGTGCACTGTAGAAGTTTTTGAAAAAATTTTGTAGAAGTTTTTGTAAGGTGAAAAACTTTTTTGTAGAAGTTTTTGAAATGTTATTGTAGACGTTTTTTGGATTATTTTTAGATGTATTTTTAAAACATATTTTTGAGTATTTTATAATTTATAATTTATAATTTTATATTTTTAAACATTTATGCATTTATAATACATTTATAAATATTTAGAAATAAATATATTTATATATTTATATAAAAATATATAAATGTATTATATTATATATAATACGTAATATACATATATTTATAAATTTATAAATGTATAATTAATATAAATGTATAAATTATAAATGAATATTATATAAATGTATAAATTATAATTTATAAATGTATATGATGATTATGTATAAATGTATTAATATAAATAATATAAATGTATAAATGTATTAATATTATGTATAAATGTATAATTAATATTTTTTATAATTTATAATTTTTATTGTTTAAATATTTATATGCATTTGTGCATTTATAATACATTTATAAATATTTATAAATAAATATGTTTATATATTTATATAAAAATATATAAATGTATTATATTATATATAATACATAATATACATATATTTGTAAATGTATAAATGTATAATTAATATAAATGAATATTATATAAATGTATAAATTATAATTTATAAATATATATGATGATTATGTATAAATGTATAATTAATATTGTTTATAATTTATAATTTTTATTGTTTAAATATTTATATAGTTACATAAAAATATATAAATGTATTATATTATATATAATACATAATATAAATATATTTACAAATGTAGTAATTGTATATTATTATAATTGAATATTATATAAATATATAAATTAATATATTATAAATATATAAATATATAATATTATGTATAAATATATTAATATAATTAATATAAATATATAAATGTATTAGTATTATGTATAAATGTATAATTAATATTGTGTGTTAATATTATGTATAAATGTATTATATTATACATAATACATAATATAATTTTATATAAATATACATAAATATATATACATAAATGTGTAATATATATAATATGTATTATATATATTAAATATATAATATATAATATTTATATAAATGTATAATTACATATTTATATTAATATTAATTGATATGGTATATAATATTTATAAAAATATATTTTAAATAAAATAAAATATTTATAATATGTTTAAATAAATATATAAATATATAATATTATAAATATATAAATATATAATATTATAAATATATAAATATATATAAATATATAACATATATAATAAATTTTTGAGGATGAGGGACTCAAAAATTCAAAAAATTTTTTTGAGGTTATCGGAGGCGCCGGAAGAGGTGGTGGAGGCGGTGTCTGGTGTGGTGGGTTGGGTGAGAGAGGAAGAAAAGTTTTTGAGAAATTTTTTGTGTATAGATTTTTGAAATGTGTAGGTAAAAAACTTTAAAAAGTTTTTTGGGGTTCCTGTAGCAAAAGTTGTTAAAAAACTAGTAGCTAAAAAACTTGGTAAAAAACTAGGGTGCCAAACAGGCCCATGGATTTCAGTTGTTTGAGAGTTATTTTTTGGACCAAAAGAAGAGAAACAGCTAGATTTGAAAGGAAATAATGTTGGGTGCTATAGTTAAACAAAATTTTTGAAAGGAAGTCAAATAAAACTTGTCAAAGTTTGCCTTGAATGGCTATTGAACAAAGTTTTATTGATATAGAAAATATAAAAGAAAAAGGAGAGAGAGCTGCTTCAAATTTTCATCTGATAGGTGCTCTCTATCCATTTTTGTACAAAAAAAACAATGATCACATATTCGCAATCTACTCTCGGAGATGTCCATGTTGTTTGCTTGTACGGACCACGGCTGTGACATCTTCCTCAATGTTTATTTGTCAAAGTCTCAACTTGTCATCTACAGTAGGGATTCTATAAATGTATTTGCCATCTTCATGACACCCGAGGAAATTGCAGACCTCAGAATTGATCTGTTCATTTTTTTTTTTTTTTGTCAACACAGAGGTGTTCGGATCAATCCTTACGGGGTTCGACTAATCCCCTGCGGCCCGGAAGAGAAGGCCCCACTCCACACTGAGCACGTTAACAATGGGACTCGAACCCTGGACAAGTCAGGAAGGTCGCCATACCCTAAGGAGGGAGAGCGGACCGCTCGAGCTATCCCGTGAAGGCAGAAGACCAGCCACGTAAAGTGGCAAGTTTGTGGGATGACCTCCAGCATCACCAAAGATGGTGATGACCACTGGACCAAATGATCTGTTCATTCTCATGGCAAAAACCACCCTTCAAAAAGTTCTCTAGTACCCCCCCCCCCAAAATATTTTTGATGTAGTTCTTCAACATATGCCCCCACCATAGTAAATATGCAGATTAAATAAATTTAAGTCTTGACCTATTTTATTTTCCAAAAAATAACAAGTAACAATTTGGCAAGTTGCAACATATGGTCATGCGTTCTCATTGTTTGCCTTCTTAGGAATATGAAAGCAACAACACAAAATTAATTTTCGCTCTAGGTTGGGACCACATGAACCCTATTTTTGAAAAAGAAAACAAAATAAAACCCCTTCGCTGCGTACAAAATTTGACTCAATCCTATCATTAAGTAT